TTTTTTTTTTTATCAGAATTAAGTTATTTCCATAAAATATAAGACTGTTTTTACCAAGCTTTACACTATTCCCACGGAATAGTAGCATGGTAGCGATGTTGGTTGAAGACGAACTATCACAGGACTCAGGTTTAGCGCCTTTGTACAGTCTTTCATTTTTTTTCTTTTGAGATTTTCAAAATTAGTGGATTTTCATGTAGTCCTGTTCCTTTCGTTTTCCATTTGCTTCATATCATCGATGACAGCAGTGGGGTCACTTTCGATGACTGCTCATTTTTTGCTACACTTTCCTCTCTGTGTTTTTTTTCTTTGACTGTTTTTCAGATATTTGATTTTTTTCTTTGTTCAGTTTTCTGGTATTCCATCAGGCGCTACATGATTTTCCTTAATTTTGAACTACGAGTAATTGCTCTGTATTTTGCTCTTTTACTCAGTCCCTATCGTGTATTTCTTCTGTACGTGCAAACGGTCAACATTTGTAGAATTCATGAATTTTTTGTTCAAAAACGATAACAAAAAATCAAAATTTCGAAAATATCCTAATTTCAATTCCCCTCAGTGGAATCTACACAGACACGGTAGGATTGGAATTCGTTGATTTCCTTCATTTGTACTTCATTCAAATCCGCTAATCCGGTATTTTTAACTTCTTTGATTTCATGTGAACTGTGTGTGAGAAAAAGCTCAGCTCAGATATGTACCGTTTCGGCAGCATCGAATTCGGACAGACACTCTCAGTGATTGTGTTATTCTGAACAGTCTATTATCGTACTGTTAACATGAGCAGCTTCTTATATTTTTTGAACAGAACAATAAAATACTCATTTGAATTTTTTTAACTTGATTCATTATTTATAACAAACACTGCAAAACTTTTTTTTTTCTTGGATTTGGGTCAGAAAAATATGACAATTTTTCAGCGCAAGCAAATAAGTTTAAAAAACATTTTGTTTTGCAAAAAGTAAACCAAATAGTTGACAATAACCAATTTTTGCTGAAGCTTTGTTACAAGAATGCATGATTGCGTGTTCCGGTTTTTTCTCAGTTTTCGTGATTCAGCTTCTCAGCTTTCGTGATTCTAGAGATAATCTCCCCCGCCAAAACTTCCAAGAAGCCGACACGTGGTAACCAGATAGACTGGGGAGGCTGGAATTTAAGCTTGCGATATCGCACATGAGCAGAGGACATTTCCCTAAAATTTCAGCCCTCTCTAGTTTTCGTGGTTCCCGAAATAGTAATTTTCCCCATCAAAACTTTCCCAGTGCCGCACATGATACGCGAACACACAGAAAGGTTTAATTTAAATCTACTGCATTGCAAGGTGGCAAAAGACATCACCCTAAAATTTCAGATTCCAATTTCTCGTAGTTCCCGAAATAATGATTTTCCCTATCAAAACTCTCGCGGAATTCTACGTGGTGCCCGGAAGTGCATGAAAACAGAATTTAAGTTTACGGGTCGTACGTGGGCGGAGAACATTCATAAAATTTCAGCCTCCCAAATTTCGTGGTTCCCGAGTTGGAAGTGCGAGACAAAATGTACACGGATAAACATACATGTACACACAAAAGTGTCTGACAATATCCGTTTTGTACTGTTGTTACACAGCGCAAAAACATAAAAAGTGTATATGTACATTACCAAAACTGTTATTAAGCACTGAGATAGACAATGCGATTCCTAAAATTTTGTAGAAAATTACCAAGGAAAACGTATTCCGAACAGTGAGCGGTATCCTCTCGAAACTGGGACACTGTTATGTTCGAATGTTTCGCTTTTAATTTTTCCCCAACGTCCGGGCGGCCATATTATGTGCGTTGCTCGAGCCGTTAATAGGCCTTTGTTCACCTAGGAATTGTACAGCTAAATTTTTACTTCCTGTGCATGCATTATTCATAGAATTATCGGATCGACCTGAGTCATCATGGCTTATACACACAATACAACTTCTACCGCGCCCAGTATACTTTAGCTGAGGTGAAAGAGCAATGCTAATAATTGTAGTTTAAATTGCTGCAAAGTCGGAACTACAAACTGAGCAAACTGTTACGTAAAATTATTATAGGAAAGAATGGGAAAAGGAGGAAAAAAGAAAAAAGAAGATAAGGAATGAAAATGAGAATCTCAGTATAACGGTTATAATCTCATTATAATGGTAAGAAGTGTTTCGGTCCATTAAGTTCTTAACATTACCACAACTGGACCTCATCAGTACGACGACTGTGGTAATTGAAGTTAGTGAAAGTTAGGGTTAAATTAATTGTGTAATGCATATTAGCAATGCATTAATTATGAAATGCATGTTAACTGCCACAGAATACCAAAAACATCGACTACCTAGGCTGTCAGTGTGGGTACCACATATTGGTGATTTTACTGAGAAGACATGCTCCTACACACTCGGAGAAGTTATGCCAAGCTCGTCGATCCTGGCCTGAACAACTGTTGTCGCTGCCTATTGTTTATTACACGAGTGCTAGTTCTTCAAGGATGTCCGATTAGTCAGAAAGATCGGAACATTAAACAGCAAAATCTTGTGACACGAGCCATTTAAGGCAAGCGGCTTGCGTTTCATCCCTTAGCTGTAAATGCATATCAAAGACAATGCACTTAAAGACTTCCTTTTTTCTTGTGGGTACCACTCACTAATGTGCGGTGTCGATCGATTGTCAGCAAGACAAGCAACATGCTTCACCTATCGGATTTTACTTCCTTACGTGGTCGCAATGAAAGTGCAAAAAAATAAGTTGCAACAGCTTACTGGTCCATAAATCCTGCTGTCAAAACAGTGCTTCGGATTATCGGCTTCCATCCAGCAATGACCTGGCGGTATTTCCGTATATTCTGCACCTTTTGGCCTAAAATTCAAAAATCAGTAAAAAAAAAATCCGATTTTCGAACTCGCGGTTCAATAAACTGAGACAAACTAAAAAAAAAAAGAAATTGGAATGAGTAACAGTACCAAATTATATCTCCATCTGTTGCAGTGACACGCTTAATATGCCGTTTTTCTGGATCATGTGGAGGTCTGAAAAAAAAACCCCCAAAAAAGTGTTCTTTTTTTTGAGTAACGGTATAGAGCGCAGCATTTACAAGTAGGCAAAGTTTAAATAAAGCCAAGTAATAGAAAATGTTAGTTATATGGAGAAAAATTTATAGCAAATATTAAAAAGATGGAAGATAAATAAAAAAATTAAGCTTTAAGAGCTTTTACATTTTTTATCAAAGCTTTTTTGCTTTTTATTAAAAATCTTTTTTTTTTGGAACGCAAGCAATATCTTTGATCAGAACAGTGAAGGCTCAAGCTAACATGCTCAACACGTGCGGCAGCATCCATCGGCAAAGAAAAATGCAACTGTGTCTAAAATATTACAAAAATATGAACAGTGAAAATGCATCGTTCGTCTCCAAAATTCGAATGAAATTTTAAAAGAAGGAAAATTCGGAGCTTCAAAGTCTTACATAAAAGTGAAAATTTGTCCAATTTGTGGCTCATGTATGCCAAATCGTGATAACCAAACAACATCCCGCTTCCACCACCTTTTTTCTTTGCCGTGTAAAGTTGGCTGAAAATAACAAATTTTACAGCTCATACCTGAAAAAAATAAATAAATAGCAGCGCAAGCTGGGGCAATTGGTGTGATCATGCGTTCTGTGCAACCCTGTTCAGCGAACGCTTGTGCAGTTCTGTTCGGCGGACGCTTTTGCAACCCTGCCCAGCTGACGTTTGTACAACTTTGTTCAGGGAAGCTTTGTTGTTAAAAAGTGTTCGCTGCATCACTTTTTGACAAGTTACATGCTAATTTTGGCGCCAAAACTCTTACTTGTCCGTATATAAGAACCAGATGTGCGCGGGGATGAATTTATCCGCGAGCGGGGAACATTCTCCTAAAATTCCAGCCTCGTATTTTTTGTAGTTCCTGAGTTATTAATTTTGACGCCAAAAATTTCACGTGTCCCTACGGGAGATCTTGACGAAAATGAAAGCTGAATTTAACGTTACGGAACATGCGGGGAAGGAACATTCTCCCAGAATTTCAGTTTCCTCCTTCTGTGTTTCGCGAGTTAAGGGCCAAAAATTTCAAGTGACCATACCTGAGGCCTAGGCGCGAATGCTAATTTTGAGTTTGCCAGATCACACACGGGTAAGGGGTTCCCCTTTTAAAATTTCAGCTTCCTAGCTTTTCTGGTTCCCGAGTTAAAACCCCCGGATAAAATGAAATTGGGATACACGCATTTATAGAGAGTGTCTTGACAATATGCGTCTTGTGCAACTGTTGCAACACAAAATACACAACTTAGCGAAAAAATGAAGAGTTTTGGTCGTCAATTATCATATCTTTTACAAACCCAATTTTGAAAGCACTGAACTTACTAAAAAGCTAAATGAATGAGGCAATTAGTGTGTTAAAAATGGCCAATAAAAAAAGATGATCCATCAAAAAAAAAACACTCTTTATGAGTCCAAAAGTGAATCCAAAAGTGATATGTGGTGGATTAAGGGATAATTTTTTGTTTTGAATACTTTCCTCAAAAGAAACAAACCTCCATGGATGAGCCAACAACGCTTGCCGGATAGCCGACAACATCGATGAACACAATTGGCACCGACAGTATTCCTACTGAAGTCCCCAATCGGATCAAGAAATATTTCACCGAACTGGTGGATGGTTCCGGAGCAGGAAGCCTGTTGCTGCTTCGGGCACGACCGGAAGACGACCCTCGTAGAATTCTGGACAACGATAATGTTACCAGCTTCATTATTACCCCAACTCGAATTATTACCTGAAATAGCCCACCGTCTGTTGCAACAACCCACTACCTCTTGCAAAAGTAGAGAAGACGGGACCGGTTTCCTCTTTTTTATTCATTCTCGGCAGTTACTAAAACTCGGCTTGGCTAGGCCGGTGTCATACACGATTCGCAAAAAATTTTTTCCGGCGGAGCCGGGTAAAGTTACCCTACAGCGAGTCGGCGGGAGTTCGAACGTAGCAGGTGGGCGAGAAGTGATGTGTTGCAAATTTCGTTCGAGACAGAAAAAGGGGGTTGGGATTGGTGAATTTAATGGCTGCATGGCGTAGATCCTTTGTCGGTTGGCTAGCTCACGTACATTTGGAGTGGAGAGGGGAAAAGGTGATGGGTAGAGGAAGCCCGAATCGAACCCTCCTTCCCCCTCCCCCCTTCCGCCCTTTTTTGTTCCTTTTGGCTAGCCTGTCCGGTACTTCATTTTTCTCCCTTCTCGGCTTTTTTTGCCTCATTTGACCTCTTTCCAATTTTTATGCGTTTTTTGCAGCTATGCAATGCAGAAAACGCATTTTGACGAGAGGTTGTCTGTGTGTCTGTGTGTTCGTCTGTACCGATTTTTCATCTCGAGACCGGCAA